AAATTTGGCCCATCCGGTGAGCTATCCACGTATAAGGACCGATGGGTTGTTTGCGGCTTCAATCAGCGTTTTAGCGTCCACTATGGCGAAACTTTCAGCCCCGTTATCAAGCCTGCCACTTTTCGAATCGTCCTTAGCCTTGCGTTGTCTCGGGGATGGTCCATTCATCAGCTGGATGTCACGAATGCCTTCCTCCATGGCCAGCTTCAGGAAATAGTGTATGCCAGCCAGCCTTCAGGATTCCAGGATGCCAGTCGCCCTCACCATGTCTGTAAGTTAAAGAAAGCACTTTATGGCCTAAAATAGGCGCCTTGCTCGTGGTACCACAGGTTTGCAGGGTTCATTCAGACCATTGGATTTCATGGGTGAAAATCTGACACATCTCTCTTCGTCTTCTCTCATGCCACAAGGAGCGCTTACCTCCTCTTATATGTTGATGACATAGTCCTCACTGCTTCCTCGCCATCACTTCTTCAGAATCTTATTCAAAAACTCAAGGGTGAGTTCGCCATGACAGACGGCACTTTCAGATCCCTCTCTTTACAGGTCCATCATTGGTGCCTTGCACTATCTCACATTCACTCGACCTAACATTACTTATGTCGTTCAGCAGCTCTGCCTCCACCTTCATGCAACTCGTGACGCTCATCTCACGGCCATGAAGAGAGTTCTACGTTACCTTAGTGGCACCGCCACCCACGGCACCTATTTGACTCGGTCCACTACAGATTATCTCCAGGCCTATTTTGATGCTGATTGGGCTGGATGTCCCGACACCAGGCGTTCTACTTCCGGGTACTGTGTCTTTTTGGGCGACAACTTAATCTCTTGGTCCTCAAAACGCCAGGCCACCACCTCCCGTTCCAGTGCAGAGGCAGAATATCGGCTTGTGGCCAATGCAGTTGCAGAGACATCTTGGATCCGAAATCTTCTTCTTGAGCTTCAGCAACCCCTACGCCGAGCCACTCTCGTCTTCTGCGACAATATCAGCGCCGTCTACCTCTCATCGAATCTAGTTCAGCACCAGCGCACCAAGCACGTTGAGGTTGACATACACTTTGTGCGTGACAAAGTCGCACTCGGCCACATCAAAGTCCTTCACATTCCATCTTCCTCTCAGTATGCTGACATCTTCACTAAAGGACTAAAGGACTGCCTTCTCTACTATTCCTCGAGTTCAAGTCCAGTCTGGGTATGAGACCCCCTCCACATCCGATGTAGCCGGGAGCATGTTAAATATATATTTTATATTTAATGTATATATATTATTTCCTATTATAGTTTCCTACGTTGTATATGATTAGGAATACTTGTATATAAATAGATATGTACTCCCACACAATTATTGAATGAAATTAAGCTTTTTAGATTTAGGGTTGAGTTTAATTTTAATAGTAATCAAAGATGTGAATCTCTGCCCAATTGTGTTTAGAGCTCGGCAGTGTATAACTTTTTTGGGAAATATGATTTTAAGGCTATATATTTGAGTTTGTGTATATATAGCTCCCTTTTTATACCCAATTGCTATAATTTCTTTCTATTCTCTAATGACAGTGTGAGAAATAGTTTGATTTTTTTAGGGTTTTTAATAGATCATTGTATTAGGATATTTTTTTTTTGGATAAGGTAGTGTGGGTTTGTTTTGGGAGTGGTAGTTTTTTTTTCTCAAAGTTATGGAAGTATAAATATCTTGTGACGGTGGAAGTGTGAGTATACCACTTATAAGGAAGTGGATTTTGAATTATGGATGTGTGTGAAGATAAAGCACCCGTATGTGATCAGGAGGATTTCAACATTTTTTATTCTCTTGTATCTGTTTCAGTTGCATTCTCCGATGTTGTAAGTACCTCTAATAACTTATCCACATATTAAGTTAAAAAGTTAAACGACTTTTGGTATAAAATTAGTTAAAATAAACATGTCCCAATATCTAATTAATCGAACAAAAAAATTAAATTATACTCGACACTGGGTATATAAGATTTCATTACTTTAATGGTTTGTACAATACAAAACCTTCACTTTTACCAAAACTACGAAAATATGACTTTTATGACACATAAAGTCGGTGTATGATCAATGAGGTTGTGATTATGTTGGATGTTTGATAATTCTTGGTGTTAGATTTTGAAAAAGTGTTCTTTTATGTCTTTGAATTTGTTTGGATTTTTTTCCATTAAAAAATTAACAATGTTTAAATATACAGTGTGGATTTACGGAATGTGTGTTTGGATTTTTATATCATTTTTTGTTTCATTAAAACATAGCATAGATAGTATTTAAAAACCCAGGGGCGGATCTACAGCATTGCATATGGGGGCAGCTGCCGCAGTGAAATTTTTTTTTTAATATATATATATGTATATTTTTAATGTTATATATAATTGCCCCCAATTAAAAAAAAAATCTGCCTCCACTGGCCCAAAACAATTAAATAGGCTAGAGACCCATCCAAAATTAGCCCAATCCAAATTCCCAAAAATTAAAAAGAATTTCCCCCCTTCCCTTTGCTTTTGGAGAAATCGAGAAGAGGAGCGGAGCAATTGAAGACCGATTCTGCCGATTGCCGAACAGCCTGAACAGTCCGCCGTGTCGCCGTCGCCCGTCCGCTGCGTCGCCGCCGAGCAGCACCGAGCAGTCGAGCACCAGCTACCAGGCACCAGGTATTTCCAAATAATTTTGTCTCCTTTTTTAAATTGTGAACTAAATAATTAGGTAAATCTGAAAATTAGATTTATGTGTAATTTGTGAAACCTTTTGAATAATTTGTTTTTATATTTCAATTTTCTATTTGATGAAATTGTTTCTAATGTTGAATTCTTGATTATTATTAATTATAATTTA